TGCCCATTGCTTTTCTACACTCAGTTATCATCCTGAACTTTAGTATCAATGCTTGTGAATATGGCCCATTGGCGGGTACCACTGTATAACTGTCATACTTACCTATCACGTTTAAAACTTAGCTTGGAGCCCATGCCTCTTCAGCTAGATACTTCCGAAGTTGAAGCAAACAGAGAGGCAGACAAAGAGAATGAAGGTGTGTGATGAGATGGGAGAAGAGAGATCAAAGGGAATGACCAATAAGTAATTTTTGCCTTGCCATCTAGGGTGCCTTTCTTCTAGAAAGCAATTGTGTGTTCTAATTTTATGCTCAACAAGTAGTCCTGTGGCACCTTAGAGACTAACAAAAATATATAGCATCATTATGAGAGGATTATTCTGGGAGGGGTGGGTGAGATTCTGTGGCCTGCACTGTGCAGGGGGTCAGACTAGTTGATCATAATGGTCCCTTCTGACCTTAAAGTCTATTAGTTTTCATGGGTAAAACCCACTTCACTCCACAAAAAGTGGCCTTTTTTCGAAAAAGCTTCCCCTACATCTAGACTGCTGACACGTTCTTCCGAAAGTAAATCAAAAGAACACGGCAGTTTTTTTGACTGCGGAAAACCTCATTTTTACGAGGAATAACGCCTTTTTTCAAAAGCACTCTTTCAAAAAAAGGCGCTATGTAATACAAACTGTGCTTTTCTGAAAGAGAGCAAGCCAGACTACCTCGGTGCTCTCTTTCAAAAAAGCGGCTTGCTTTTTCTAAAGTACTGGTTGTAGTCTAGAAGCTCTTTTTTGAAAGAGGCTTACAGTCTAGATGTAGCCTATATTTTTGTTAGTCTCTAAGACGCCACAGGACTATTTATTGTTTTTAAAGTTGCAGACTAACAGGGATACCCCACAGATTTTATGCAGTTAATTTGAGATAGTGGGCATGGATACAAGGAGAGGAAATTATTGCTGAACCAGTCTGCTCCTGAATTATGTGCGCACTCCTCTGAAAATACACTGTGTAAAGATATGCTGCCAAGGCACTGGGACATTGACCTTTGTTCACTTCAGGTTCTTCGCCAAAGGACAGGCTGATTATTTGAAAATGGGAATCCTTAAGAACAAAATGGAAGAACTGTCAATGAACTAGGTCAGAGGTTCTCAACCTTTCTAGTCTACTGCTCCTTTCAGGAGTCTGATTTTTCCTGCATACCCCAACTTTCACCTCTTTTATAAATACCATGCTTACATTTCAGTGCATAGTGTATAGAGCAATATAAGCACATCATAATCTGCATACAATTTTAGTTTGTATTGACTTTATATGTAGCCTGCTGTAAAACTAAGTAAGTATATAAATGAGTTGAAAGACTCCTGAGTAGAGACATGCATACTCCTGGTTGAGTAGCATTAAGCTTGGCAAGATGGGATAATAAGGAACACATTATTGAGACTGATGTTTAAGTAGTCGTGCTCTTGAAAAGACTGTAGGGGCACAATAAAATTTGAAAGCTAACAATTCTGCTTCATCTTCTGCTTATACTTAGTTCTATTTTCTTTGTGGTAAATCACTATATAGTATTTCTAATCAAACTTTGAAAAATCCAGAGATGTTTTAATTTATGTCTTTCCGTTTTTTTACTGATGTCTCCATAGCCACGTTTTAAGTTTCAGCCAAAGTACAGGAAAATTTCTAATAATCCAGTCTCTTGGCTGATAGAGTCTGTAGGCCAACTGGTACATTAACAGAGAAATATAGTACTTCTAAGCATATTAAGTTCAGCTACACAAAAAATTGGTTCTTTTTCATAAATAGTTTATCACAGAAAACCAAGACCTGAAGATGAAAGATTTCAACAAAAGAATGGAAACTGCCATAATAAGAGTTAAGATACATACAAGCAGGCTGCAATCTTTCATATGAATATTTCAAATTAACACACAAACAACAGAGGAAGCAAGGAATTACAGATATAAGACTTTCATTCCATCTTGAGCATAACCATGACATTCAAGTATTGCACTTGGTCAAAGATCAGTATACAGTATAATAATTCATATATTCAACAGCTAGCTGAAACAGAGATGCTAACCATGTAGTAACAAAAGCAGGCTGAGAGTTCATCAATATATATTTACTATGCAGACACACACACACTGGAACTGTGATGAATTAAGGAACTAACAGGTCAAGAATCCTTGGACTAAACCAGTCACTTAAAGCAGGGACGGGCAAACTTTTTGGCCTTAGGCAACATCGGGTAGGGAAACTGTATGGAGGAATGGGTAGGGAAGTCAGGCATGCCACCTCGCTCTCTCCAACAACTCTCTCTGCTCCCTATCCCGAGCAGCCCCCGAAACACCCTACCACCTATCCAACCTTCTCTGACTCCATCCCCCTGACTGCACCATCTCGAGTACCAGGACTGGGCAGTGCTGCAGCCTTGCTTACCAGTCGAATCTGCAGCTGCACTGACAGGAGCATTAGAGCTGGTGGTGTGGCAACTGACCTGAGACTGTGGTGGAGGGATTGTAAAGGAGAGGGGTTGGGGACAAGCTGCCCAGGCTCACTATGCTGCCCAGGAGTTGGGCTGGCTCCTCCCAGCAAAGCTGTCCTGACCCCACTCCCCAGTAGGAATTATGATGCCAGACTGAAGGGTCTGATGGGCTGGATATGGCCTGTGAGCCATAGGTTGCCACCCTTTCACCTAAAGGTAGATTCAAGAGAAAATTATTGAGAATCATACCAGTAAGGCCCAATGGCAATGCCCCAGTAAAAAGGTCACCCCCAATTGCTGGAAAAAAGAAGACTGCTAGAATTTTTACCTTTGTATTATTCTAAGACTCTGATTTGGGGAGCAGGAGCAGCTTCCACTTTTTTTTGGCGGGAGGGGGGGGAGTTAGGGTAGAAACATGGGAAGAAGGGAGGGAGGATAATCCTCTAGCTTGCAAAATGATACATGTGATGTTCCACTCTTCTCTAGCTATTCCCTTCAACACCTCCAGAGTCTAATGGCTGCTCTGTTCAGAGAAGTCTCCATTAAACCTCTTTAAGCTATTTTATGTTCACCCTGCTCTCCCACATATCATATTCATACTTTCTGAGTGTCTGCGCTTTCCTAAGTAATTCTAGCCCCTGCCTCTGAGCCATCTTAGTTTTTCTAATCTGCAGCATAAAGTTCACACAGTTCTTGATAGTTTCATGATGGCTGCCCACAGGGCTTTGAATAGCAGAAGAGAAATTAATTAGATTCTTGTTAATTTCATCACTCCACTGATACTTAAAGCTCTGACCATGAGCAGAAGCACTGGAAATGGCTGACAGAGTGCAGTTGCAAGAAACTAATAAGCCATCAATAGAGTTTTGGTTCACATTTGTGAGACTAATGTTACAACCTTAAGTGCTAGAATTTTAATTAAAAACGAGAAGTTAATTTCTGCAAAAACTGATGGCTCATGCACCCTACTCAGAGAAAGGAGCTCAACAGTATTTTCTGACAACTTGATATATATTACATACTAAACATCATCATGAAGGCTCAGGGGGCATGACTAGATGAACGCTTTAGTATGTTAACACAACAATTGAAAACCTGTGGCTGGTCCATGTAAGCTAAATTGGGCTCAGGCTAACCATCTGTTTAGCTAGTGTCGACATTCTTTTGAGTTCTGAAACCCTCCCAACTGAAGCTTTACTTACACAGATAAATGATTTTTTTTGTATTTAGTATTAAAATATTAGACCATTTTGCAAGAAGAAGGGTTAGCTTTTACAGTACGAGCTGACTAAAAATAGGACAAATATTTTACGTATGATCACTTGGAAGTAGGGGGACCACAGGAAGTTATGTAAAAGTTTATTGTATTCTTACAACTTAAATTTTTATGAAAATTGCTTTCATTTAAGAGGTAACTTAGTACTAGCATTTATCACAGCTACAAAAAACTGAAAATAATATTTACTTAATAAGGTTTAAAACTAAAAGTGCTAGCCAGCATCATAGGAGAAAATGTGTTACTTTAACAGCTCAGTGTATGAAAAACCTCATCCACTGCTCATGAGTTACATTGGCTAAAAGAAAATAAGGAGCAAATCCATCTCTTATTTCCTTCATAATTTACCTTGATCATATTATATCTAATAATGTGCTACTGTGATAATAATGGCCATCTTGTTTTCCATTTCAAGGCTAAATATCTATTTGGTATTCCAAATATCCTTCTAAAAATCACTGAATTCTATAAGTGATACAACTGTTAACATATAATACATATCAGGACTTAAACATTAAAAAGGTGTGAAATAAAATAGATAGATAGATAGATAGATAGATAGATAGATAGATAGATAGATAAATAAATAAACAAATAAATAGTGGTTCATTCTAATAAACTTTAAGGATCAAGGAGAAAAACTGAATTTTAGAATTAATAGGCTTTTTTATGTATGAATATTCTCTCCTTGGTCCTTATAAGTTTATTAGAATGAGCCATAAAAATCAGTGTCACCACTAAAATCCATGGTTTTTAGTGCCTAGCAGAGTTAAGTTGTCAGGCTTGCCTTTTGAAGATGTTGAGATTTTCTTTGAGGACAGAGACTGTGTGAAAAGTTACTGTTTTCTCTTAAAAGCACAGAACACAATCTTCTCACAGAAGAGACGCACATGAAAGCATATCACATTTCCTTTCTGCACACTATACTCATGGTAGAAAGTGAGAAGGTTTAAATTTAAAATAATTATCATTCCCTTAATAGGATCAGATTTCCCTTTATTATGTCACATGCAAAAAAGATGAAGATCTGTCTGAAAAAATCCCCCAAAACCTGTCTATTGCAAAGGCTCATTCCACCCTCCCTTTCTCCAATCAGCCCCAATTAAATTTTAAGATAACTGAGACACAACAAAATATTTGTGAAAAATTATTCTGTACTGCAGCTTTATACTTACTACTGGAATGCTACTTGGAATATGTATTTTAAAAGCCACAGCTCAAAATTTGAAGACCTGAATGTAGTTACTTACTGCAGGTACGAGTAACTTTTTCACTTCTTCAACAGCCCTCTTCAATTTGATTTCTGCTCTGTTTTGAGCATCTTCCACAGTGATTAGTACATGTAAATCTTCATTCAGGTGTTCCCAGTTAGGTTTGCCTCTGTTTTGTTCCTCCTAAAACAAACAAAACAAACAAATGAAATCACAGGCAAATGGAAATTATTGCATGTCCTTGTGTACTGTATTTTCATAAAATCTTTATCAACCTTTTTTACCTGTAGGGCAAGAAATTACCATCACAACGTATGATGCTTTACAATAGATGATGACAGTTTCCAAAATTCCATTGCACTATTCATTGTATTGAATACAAGTTTTTTAAAATAAACAACCATAACTTTAGACAGTACTAAAATTTACTTACAATCTTCAAACGATTTAAAAGTTAGTGGGGGGCATAAGTATTAAACTAGGTAAAATTTCTAGATGAGGACTAAAGTAACTCCTCTTCTGAGCTTATCTTTCATTTAATATAAAAGCGGAGCATGGGCTGGGTTGTGGACCACACTTGTAGGGGTGGAGGCATAACACTTGTGGGGGGTAGAAGCGTAACCTGGCATGTTGCACCACATAGGATACACACTGCCATATGGAATCTCCTGTGAGCGAGTTTCACAGAGATGTGAAAGTAAGCATCCTTTAAGTTGAGGGCAGAGTACCAGTCTCCTCTCTCTAGGGAGGAAATAACAGAAGCCAGCCTAACCATTCTGAATCTTGTCTTCCTTATATTCTGAGATGGAGAATGGGGCAAAGACCTCCCTTAGATTTTGGAATAAGGAAACACTGGGAATAAAAACCCCTTCCCCTGCATTCTTCTGGAACCAGTTCTACTGCTTCCCACTGTAGAAGTCTTAAAAGGTGCATGTGAGAAGGGACTCTGAAGAGGAACAGGAATAGGGAGGATGAGAGAGAAAGGAATGGGATAAAGTATCCCACTCCTACTATGTCCAGCACACAGTGGTCTCAAGTCATCTGGGTCTATGCATGGTAGAAGTGGGAGAGATGATTTCCAACAAGGGGAACTGGTAATGGGCAACTGTGGGTTCGGAATAGGGCCTGAGCCGCTCTCAGAGTCAGATCTGGATCTCCTCCTGTTCCTCGCCCCATTGTAACTATTGAGACCCATCCTCCTGTTTGTGTCCAGCCTATAGCCCTGCTGCGAGGGTCTTAGTGGAGGCCTAGTATTTAGGAGGTGTCTTTGTGGGTCTGACATACGGCTCTCCAGGGACTTCAAGGTGGCCCAGAAGCCCTTGAGGCTGTGCAGCTTTGTGTCTGGTTGGTTGGAGAAGAGTCCAGCCCCATCAAATGGGAGGTCCTGAATTGTGTTCTGCACCTCTGGAGGGATGCCCAACACTTGCTGTCGTGAGCTGCGCCCCATTAACTATGCTCATGGCCATTGCCCATGCAGCAGAGTTAGCGGCATCTAGGGCACCCACAAGGTCATGAGAGATGAACTTGCCCTCCTCCGACAGGGCTTCGAACTCCTGGAGGAGTCCTGTGGGAGGAGTTCCTTGAATTTCTCCACAGCCAGTTGGATATTTGTACACATACCTACTAAGCATCACCTGCTGGTTGACGATGCGTAACTGCAGGCCTCCTGTGGTGTATGCTTTCCTGCCCAACAAGTCCAACTTCTTGGGCTCTTTACTCTTTGGCGTAGGGCCTAGTTGGCTATGCCTTTCCCTATGGTTGGCTGCCTGGCAACCAAAGACCCCGGGGTCAGATGAGCATACAGATGTTCATAGATTGTTTGAGGGATGAAGTAGTGCCTCCTCTCTATCCCCTTCTGGGTCGGTGGTATGGAGGCTGGGATGTGCCACAAGTTCTTTGAAATTGTTGTCACCATTTTGTTAAGTGGTAGCGCCTGCCTGGCTGGCATGTCTGCCTTGAGGATACTGACCACTGGGTAGATACCCTCTGCTACCTCCTCAGCCTGGACACCCCCCCCCCCCCCCAAATTGCTTGCCAGCCTGCACAGCAGTTCCTGGTGCACTCTTGCATCCAAAGAAGGCATAGGTGGCGTAGGGTCAGCACACACTTCATCCAGTGACGATGAGTCTGGGGCCTTGGAAGCTGTGTAGCCGAAGGAGTGCCCTTGGAGCAAGTGCCTGTGGAGGTAGGCCTTGAAGGAATTGGGCCCCGGGCCTGGTGGCAGGCCCATGGTGTCCAAAAGAGACATTGCACCTGAGGCTGCCATTGAGGGGGCCAGGTCTGATGCTGTGATTGGTGCCAGGAATAAGATCAGTGCAGAGTGCGGGACCCAGTGGAAAAGGCTTTTAAGCGCACTGACATCCTCAGACTAAGAGGAATAGTCAGACACAGAACATGGCAGCGCCACAGATGATAGTGATGGGGATCGGTGCTGAGGTTGATACTGCGGCAGGTTTTTCCTGGTGCTGAACCAATGTGAGCGGTGCCATCTACTCAGTAGGACATAAGCAAGTGCTCAAAGAATACACTGTCCATAACTGCCTACTAATTGCTCTGTCATACCTTTATATTATCACAATCATGCAGCAAAATATCAATAAAAGACAACAAATGTATATTACTAGGCAAGTGACACAGATTTCCTTTTCTGCTCCTTTCCTTCAGTCATAGGACAAATGTACCAAAAGCTTACTAATGATCACTTTGTAGTGATTTACTGCTAAGAGAGTATAGACTCCGTTACCTTAAACAAAATATTTAAAAATAAAATTTTGGAGAAGGGAGCTATGTAATACTTTCCCCTTCTTTGTAAAATAATTACTAAAGGAATATTAGGAGAAGCCAGTAGGGAAATGGAAAATGTTGGCATAAGAACAGATGGGTATAAACTGGCTCTGAATATATTTAGGTTGGACACAAAGGTTTCTAACCATTAGAGAAAGGAGTGAGGTCCTGGAGCAGCATCCCAGTACAGGCAGTCCCCGGGTTACGTACAAGATAGGGACTGTAGGTTTGTTCTTAAGTTGAATCTGTACGTAAGTCGGAACTGGCATCCAGATTCAGCCGCTGCTGAAACTGATCAGTTTCAACAGCAGCTGAATCTGGAGGCCAGTTCTGACTTACATACAGATTCAACTTCAGAATGCCAGGCATCCCCAAGTCAACTGCTGCTGAAACTGATCAGCGGCTGATTCCAGGAAGCCCGGGGCAGGGGCTTCCTGTAGTCAGCCACTGGTCAGTTTCAGCAGCGGCTGACTTGGGGACACC